CCTCCCCTTCCACCTCCTCCTCCTCATCCTGCTCCTCCTCCTCCTCCTCCTCCTCCTCCTCGCCAGTGGATGCTCCTCGAGGGTCCTCGCCGGAGGAAAAAGGCACACGTCCGAGCGATGCCAAGGCCTCCCCACAGCGCCGGGATCCGAGGGCACGACGACGGCGGCGACGACGACGACGACGACGACGACGACGACGACGACGGCAGCGGCGGCGGCGACGACGACGCCGACGGCGGCGGCGGCGGCACCGACGACGACGACACGGCGACGAAAAGGTCGTCGACGACCCTCGGCCGAGGCCCGCTGCGGCGGCCGCGAACCCGCCGGTGGCAGCGAGCGCGCGCGCCCGCTGCTGCCGCCGCTGCTGCCGCTGGGGCTCGCAGACGGCGGCGGCCTCGCTGTGCGAGACTCGGGCCGCTGCGGTGCCGTTGGACGACCTCTCCGAGGCACCCTGGCGACGAGCCAACAACACACACATTCCCATAGGGGGGTCGGAGAGGGCTATGGGCGCGTGTTGTCGGATGGGGTCCCCGCTCGAACGGGAGCGTTCCCCAGGGTCCGACAACCCGCACCCATACCCATAGCCAGTCCTCCTCCCAACGACCCCCCTATGGGTATGGGTGCGTGCTGTCCGTTAGGCACCGTGAGGCTCACAGCGTGCGAGCCCGCGACAAGGAAAAAAAGAGCTGCCCTGGGGGGCGGAGCGGGATCGAGAGCTCCCCAGGGCCCGCGCCGAAGAAGGACGGGGCGCCGCGGGGCATGGGGATGCTGATGGACGGGCCGGGGAGCCCACGCTCGTCGCCCCTCCGCCGCAGCGCCGCGCGGCAGCGAGAGGAAGGCACCGGCTGCGAGTTCGCACGAACAACGCACGGCGATGGGGCTGCGCATCGCCGCGGTCGTGGACCCGCGATCGGCAGGAGGCGGCGGCAGAGGCGCACCTTCCTGCTGTGGCAGCGGGGCCCGACGAGTTCTCGCCTGACGCCTACGACAAGCTCGCCAACTGCGGCGGGCGCACGGCCTATCGGCACTCTGGCTGTCTCAAGCGCGCTTCGGTTCGCGGTCGAGGCTCCGCAGGCAGACCGTGCGTTCCCACGCGAGGCGGCGGTCACCGCGCAGAGCGGAACTGCATTGCTGTGGGTAGCCACGGGGGCCTCGTGACCGCAGACACGCAACCGAACGTTACGTCTTCCCCTCCCCCCTCCGTCCTCCATCCCTCCTTCACTTGCTCCATCATCCTCAGCCTGCACATGTTCCGTATCCTGTTCCCACCTCTTCCTCCTGCTTATCCTCCTCTAACCTCGGGGGAGATGAGATAAAACGGTTCGGTAATCGCCGTTCGAACCACATTATCTACTACAACCGTGTCCAATCCATCCAACCCATCCCCCTCATCCTCCCTCCTCCTCCCCCTCTCCTCCCTCACGCCTGCAACCTCCCTCCCCCACTTCCTCCTCCTCCTCCTGCTCCTATTCCTCCTCCTCCTCCTCCTTCTGCTGCTGCTGCTGCTCCTCCTCCTCCTCCACCTCCTCCTCCTCCGCCTCCTCCTCCTCTTCCTCCCCCTCCCCCTCCTCCTCCTGCTTCTCCTCCTCCTCCTCCTCCTCCTCCACTTCCTCCTCCTCCACCTCCTGTTCCTCTCCTCCTCCTCCCCCCCCCCTCCAAATGGTTCTCATCCTTCCTCCGCCCTTTACCTCTGCGTAATGCCACGGCTGATAGCACGTGTCTCCATGTTGTTATATGTTCTTCCTCGACTGATCCATCCATGCTGCCATTTCTCTTCCCTGCTCCCTCCATCAAACCTAATCATCCTCCACATCTTCTGTCTCCCCATCATCCATCCTCCCTGCCCCTCCTGCCTCCGTATCCTTTCCTCCTCTTCAACCACCAACTCTCTTTATAACTAACTCCTCCATGTCGCGTTGCAGGACGTGTCCGCAAACCTGGCCAAGGTTTTCGCCAAAAAACCCTTTCGAACATTAGGTTATGAAGGTTGCCAACTGCAGCAACTGCAAAACTGGAGACCAAGTAACTTGGAAATTCTGGCCGTTACCCAGGCGCCCCCGAACGGTCCAAGACGCTCCCAAACGTCCTCAGAGGCTACAAGCCTCCCCCCCAACACGCCCACCAGCACCAACAGCATCCGCATCCGCATCTTCATCGTCCTCGTCGCCGCACGAGGCCTCAAAGAGTAAATGAATATGTATATCGCGTCGGCGCGCAGACCACGAGAGGTTTTCGACATGGGGAACTCGCTGTGCTGGCACCGCACACCGGCGTTGTAGACAACCAGCGTTGTACTAGGAGGAGGAGGAGGAGGAGGAGGAGGAGGAGGAGGAGGAGGAGGAGGAGGAGGAGGAAGAGGAAGGAGGAGGAGGAGGAGGAGGCGGAGGCGGAGGAGGAGGAGGAGGAGGAGGAGAGCGGCCCGTTGTCAAAAAAAGAGGCTCTCGCACTGGCGCCCTGCACGCTCGGCCTGCCATGTGTCCTTCCAAACGCGCGAATGGCTGGCGAGTCCTCTCAAGACGGTGGGGGTATTGGACACAGGAACGAAGGATTGCAAAAAAACCCAGGATTGCAAAAAAACCCAGGGTTTTTTTGCAATCCAGGGTTTTTTTGCAATCCTTCGTGCATGCGGAACCCACGGTCTGGAAGCCACTGAAAACCCAGTCGTGAGCTGGCCATGGCTGCCACCGCCGCCCCTCACCAGATGCGTGAGGAGTCCTTGTCTGTCTGCAGTCCCCTGGGGCTTCTTCCTTAACACACGCCCCCACCGTATTGGGCGCCCCCCTCGGCCCCGCGCGAGCGCATTCAAAAACGAAGTCCGCCGTCTACAGTCACCCGACCCTTCGCACTTCGTCTACGATCTACAACCCATCACCTCATGCTGCGAAACAACTAACACGGATGAAGGCAGCCCCTTTTTCGAAACGGGGCTCCCGCATGAGACTTCTGTGAAACATGCGTCCACGATTTTGACATCCTGCAACGCTGAGAGCGTGTTTATTCATTTTAGGCGATGACGGGCGTCATTGGGGGGGGGCGGGGGGGGGTGTGACGTAACGCCCCCCCCACATCCCCCGCAGTGTGGCTCCGCACCACAGCCGCGCCCGCGCGCACGACGACGATGAGCGATGAGCGACGAGCAACATGTAGGTGGCAATCTGCCCGGCCACACCGACCTTGTGCGTACCACGATGCTCGCGTGCACCGTAGCGCCGGTATACACCACAGCGCATGTGTACACCGCAGCAGCCATGTGCAACACAACGCCTCTAAACAACACAACGCATGTGTACACCACAACATGCACGTGCAACGCGACGCTGGTGTACACAGCAAAGCCTGCGTGCACGGGACAAGTAGAAGGAGCATGTCGGTGAGGATCTGGTGCGGACATCTAAACGCCACGCCAGGGAAGCGTTGATGATAAAATGCGACGTTTTTCCCTCCACCTCCACCTCCACCTCCACCTCCACCTCCTCGTCCTCCTCCTCCTCCTTCTCCTCCTCCTCCTCTTCCTCCTCCGTTACCCTTCCCCCCCGTCGTGCGGGTCGGCGCTGCAGCGCACGTGCGCATCTCAGCGTGCACCGCAGAATGGTCGTTTGAATATATCCAGTTGGTTCTCGGACGGCCAATTTTGCTGGAGCCTCCTGGGCCCAGATGGGAAGAGTTAGGCTGATGCGGGCGGACTCGGGAGGACTCGTAGATTCCAGCGGCGCTCTCCTTTCCATCGAGATGTCTTTCCACATGGAACATTAAACAATTGTTTCCTGCGGAACCTTTCCAAATTCTATATGCAACAATGGTGCTCAGTTGCGCACGATTGCTGTGGTGAACACAAGCACATTGGTGTGCACAGGCGCTGAAGTGCACGCCGGCATTGTGGTGTACGCAGGTGCTGTGTTGCACACGGCTACTGTACTGTACACGGGCGTTGTGGTGTACACAAGCGGTGTGGTGTCCGCAGGCACTGCGGTACACATGGCGCTGTGTTGCACGCGGCTGCTGTGGTTTACATAGGCGGTGTGGTGTATACCGGCGCTGTGGTGCACGCGAGCACTGTGGTGTACACAGGGGCTGTGGTGCCGATCGCCACCTGCATGCTGCTGCTACCCGACCTCGGTCATTCCTAAGCATTCCCAGACGCCGCCGGCGAGAAACGTGACGTCATCTGACCCCTCCCCCCCAAATTGACTGCTGGCTCCAGCCGCGTCCGCGCGCACGACGCCGATGAGCGACGAGCGACGACGACGACGAGGGCAGACCAGGCTCCTATGCGGATTCCTATTAATGGTGTCAGCTATGCGGATCCCGATGCGCACGGCGGCAGTGCCGCAGCACACGTGGCGTTACGTCATAGAGGGGGAGGCGGGGGCCATGATGCCCGTCATGCCCCAAGCAAGAAAGAGACACGCTCTCAGACGGATGGAGGGTATGTTCTGTTCAAAGTGAGCTAGCTACCCATGAACCTCCATGAGAAAAACTCTCGCCTTGAACTTCCGCGATACATACGCACATGAATGTGACATCCTGCAGCGCTGAAGTCGATGGAGGGCATGTGTTTCTGAGAATGTGGCAGGCCTGTGCGCGGTTCCAATAGAGGGAAGATAACCAACTGCTCTTGGAATTAATCCCCTGGGGATAATAAACGTTTTCCAGGGGTCCAGGGGGGGAGAATAAACGTTTTCCTGGAGATCGCAGCAAAATGATGAAGATGCTGACTATGATGATGGTAAAGATGATCCTGGCCGCTGTATAGAAATCCGATGAAATCCGTCGGATTCCTTCGGTTATCCACAGGGTTTCTTCGAACATCCCAAGAGCTCCTTAGGCAAGCAAAATGATTCCTGAGGACATCCTTCGGATTCCATGACATCCACAGGAATCCTTAGGACTTCCTTCGGATTCCTGGGGGAACACAAAATATTCCTTCGGAAAGTCATGGAATTCGTTTGGAAATCCGTGGGATCCCTGAGCACATCCTGAGGATTCCTCACGAACACATCGGATTCCTCGGGGAATCCATAGGAAATCCGTGGGACAAAACTCTCGGATGCCTTAGAACATCCATGGGATTCCTTCGAAAGTCCATTAGGTTCCACGCGAAACCCATAGGAGTCCTTATGCAATGCATTGGAATCCTGAGAACAATCAGAAATTGTCATGGGGAATCCATCGGACTCCCTAGGACATGCTTCTTATTCCTTGAGAAATCCATTGGTCTCTGTAGGAAGTCAGGAGGAGAAGCCCCGGACCTTAGGTTTCTTAAGCTAGGTTTCTTAAGCTGTAAAACTCAAGTATGTTTAACTCGATTCAAGAACGCATGCGACAAACAACGGGGATAAAACAACTCGCGCGCGCAAAGTTCGGTTTCCTTTGGGAACCTCTAGGAATCATGAGAGCATCCGTAGAAGTTCATAGGACGTTATAAGATCACTTAGGATATCCATAGGATCCTCCGAGAGTTGCATCGGATCCCTTGGGAAATCCACATGACTCATAGGGATTCCTTGGGGAAACCATAGACAATTCCTGAAGAAACAAATCGGAATCCCTCAGACATCCACAGGACCCCGTAGGACATCCATGGGAATCCGGAGGACATCCATGGGAATCCTTGCTGCTCAGCATGAGAAGATAAGAACTTCGATTCGCAGCTCTCCCCCGCGATAGTCAAGTTCGTCATTGCCGCCCCCTGGCCGTCGCTCGAAAGTCCATTCCCTGTGTTTTGTTCTGGTTTCGTGCGTGGTTGTTTCGCCAGATGGTCGAGGATGCTCCTCGAAGGTCCTCGCCGAGAAAAAAATGCACACGTCCGAGCGATGCCAGGCCCCTCTTCCTCTCTCGTGGGGGATGCGGCTAGTTTACACCAGGCGCCCTCGCCTGACTGGCAGGCCGACCGGGCCGCTCCTCATCCAGGGGGGGGGCGCCGACCATGGAAGCGCATCGCTGCTTGAAGCTGTGCAGAGGGAACTTGGGACGGGAGGGTGTATTGCACCACCGGTTGATGCATCTTGGGTTTGCTCTGGTGCTCCTCCTGCTCCTCCTGCTCCACCTCCTCCTCCTCCTCCTCCTCCTCTTCCCCTTCCCCTTCCCTCCCTCCTCCTCCCCCTCCTCCTCCTCCTCCTCCTCCTTCTCCTCCTCTTCCTTCTCGTCCTCCTCCTCCTCCTCCTTCTCCTCCTCGTCCTCCTCGTCCTCCTCTCTTCCTCTTCCATTCCTCCTCCCCCCTTTCCACCCCCGCCTCACCCCCCCCCCGCGGTCTCCTCGTGCACCGCGCTGAGCTCGCGGAACACCGCCGCGGAGGTCTGGGTGCAACGGCTTTCCCAGACGCGCGCCACTCCCCTTATACCGTTTCTACTGCTTCGGCCATCGATCTCGCAAGAAGTATCGCTGCCCTTCCATCCTTCTCGTCCTGGTCCTCCTTTTCTCTCCTCCCCTTCCGCCCCCCCACCCCGACTTCCTCCTCCTCCTGCTCCTGCTGTTGTTACTGCTCCTGCTCCTGTTCCAACTGCTCGTCCTGCTCCTCCCATTCCCCTCCTCCTCCTCTCCTCCTCCTCCCCTCCTCCTCTCCTCCTCAGGCCCTCCTCCTCATGTTCCTCCTCCTCCTCACCATCCTCCTCCTCCTCCTCCTCCTCCTCCTCCTCCTCCTCCTCCTCCTTCTCTTCCTCCACCGTTTTGCCCTGCTCCCCCGTTGGCCTCGTCCCTCCCCCCTCCGACGCGGACGACGACGCCGACCCCGACGGCGACGCCGACGACGCAGAGGGCACGGGCGAAGACGGCGAACGCCGGCGGCAAGGAGGAGCGCGCCCGCCTCCAGGGCGACGGCAGCCCTCCTGCGGGCGGGGCAAGGGAAAAGGCGACGGCGCCGCCGCCACCGCGGGCGCCGTGGGCGTCGTCATCGCCGGCGTCGTCGTGGCTGCCGTTCTCCGCGACGTCACCGTCACCGTCGTCGTCGTCGTCGTCGTCGTCGTCGACGTCGTCGTCGTCGTCGTCGTCGTCCTCGTCGTCGTCACTGGCGGCGTTGTCGTGGTTGGCCGACGCGCGCGAGGAGGGAGGGCCGACGCGCGCGCGCGCAGCGGCTCGGGCTCGCCCCGCGCAGAAGCACGCTGGGCTGGACGCGCTTTGCCCCTCAGAACCCAGTGTGGCCCGAAGGGTCCCCAGAGGGGCCCCAACTGGTCCCCGGGAAGCTTCAATCGACCGACAGCGAAGCCCTGGAGAAAACCGCCGCGTAGTCCCTGGCAGGCTCCTTGTACATAGTCGTCGGCGGTGGACAGACCTCCCTCTCGCAGACCACCCTTTCATGAAAACTGCCCAGGAACGAGACCGACGGACCTGGACCCGCAAAATGACGGCCGCGACGCCCTCTCGCGAACCGAAAATGGCCAATTCGCTGATCGACGTGTCAGGGGAGGAGGAGGAGGAGGAGGAGGAGGAGGAGGAGGAGGAGGAGGAGGAGGAGGAGGAGGAGGAGGAGGAGGAGGAGGAGGAGGAGGAGGAGGAGGAGGAGGAGAGGGGAGGAGGAGGAGGAAGAAAAACCTGCGCGGCTCCGGGGCCGTTGGCCCTCGACCCCCCGGCGCGGCCGCGGGACGGGCCGACTGCCAGTGGCACCCCTCGAGAGCGAGCCTCTGGCTGGCCACCGGGCCGGACGCCGCTCCCGCCCCGAGGGCGGCGGCCGCCCCCCCGCGCCCCACGGGCGCCACTCGGCCACGCGAGCGCCACCTGGCCACGCGAGAGTCGGGTCGGGCGAACGGGGGGGGTAAACAAAGGAGGGGGGTTCAGAATCAGCTCGGGATGACAAAGGGGGGGGTTCAGAATCAGCTCGCGTATAGCTGATTTTCCCCCGGCGCCTTCCGGCGCCGGAGGCGGCCAGGCATCGAGGAATGGGCCGCCCTTTCGGCGGGGCCGAAATCGGCTGCGTGCAGCAGATTTCGACCCCCCCCCCTTTCCCAATCGCCCCCTTCCGCCCGGCCCGACACTTGGCCACGCGAGCACCACCTGGCCACGCGAGAGGGAGAGGGGCCACACACAAATAAATGCACACAAATAAACCGATTCCCCATATTATCCCATATTTTCTAAGTTTTTGTCTTCCCGCCCAATTCCTATATTTCCTTATATTTTCTTGGAATCGACAAATAATTGTGTCTGTGTGTTTTTTCCCCTCCTGAATCCTGGCCACGCGAGAGGGAAGGGGGGCCAGGGTCGAAAGCTGGCGACGGCCCCGCGCCCCGCAGCCCCCCCAAGGGGGAGGCGCGGGCAGAAGCCACTCGAGGGGGGGGCGCGGCAGCACAGGGCCAGAGGGGGCGGGGCGGGGGGCAGGCGGTAAGAAACCTTCGATGACCCACGGTTGGCCCCACACCCCAAACAGACGGCCGGGTGGGGGGGGGGGGCCACAACGCATCGTAGGCGCAGGCGGAAGGGCGACGCCGGGGCGGGTGATGTGCTCAGGGCGAGGCGCACATGCATCAGGACCCGCGCTGGGCATGGCGAAGACGAGCACGAGCAGGGGCAGGCGCCGCCGAAACGCGTTCTAAACATCGCCGTGCCCGAATAGCTTTGCCAGGGAGGCGAATGGACCGCCAGAGCGACTCCGCCTTGTGCGCGTGCCCCCCTGCGACGCTACTGCACAACTGGCCATCGCTCGGACGTCCATTCCCTGTGTTTTTTTTCGGTTTCGTGCGTGGCTTTTTCGCCAAATGATCAAGGATGCTCCTCGATGGTCCTCGCCCAAGGAAAAATGCACACGTCCGAGCGTCGCTACTGCACAGACGGCGGCGGAGCCCGGTGCGTACTGAAACCCCCACCAAAATTGTCGTCTGCGCGGGGGGCGGCAGACCTTTGAATCCAGTGCCATCGCGGCGGCCGTGACCAAGACCGCGACCATGACCGCGACCACGGCGCGACCACGATGGGGAAGGTGCAATTATATACTTCAACTGGTATGGGTGGCTATGGGACATCAAATGCATCAATGCTTTGGGGGACCAGGGGGGGGCTGTTATCTTAACACGTTTCCTCATCCGCCCGTCCTCCCCCTCCTCCCCTGCTCCTGCTCGCGCCGTTGGTCCGCCTCCTTCCCTCGCGGCCACTCCTCTTCTCATCCTGATCATGATCAGTGTGATTGCCATCCTTCCTGCCTGCGTCGCCGCCCCCGCCGCTCTTAGACAAGCGCGTTCCACTACTCGCAGAGTAACTACTCGCAAATGGGCTGGGTCCGCCGCTGGGGATCTACGATACATTACATCGAGGCAGACACTTGTTTTTCGGACAACCTGCGAGTAGGCACTCTGCGAGTGGTGGAACGCCCTCGGTGAGCTCTCCTCGGCCCCCCGGGTCTGCTTTGCTGGAGGCTGCCAGGGGCCTCTAGGGGCATCCTGCCCGCAAAACAACCCCAAAGCCCACGGGTCGCCTGATGCAGAACTGGCCGTCGCTCGGACGTCCATTTCCCGTGCATGTTCCGGTTTCGTGCGTGTTTTTTTTGCTCGATGGTCCAGAATGGTCCTCGATGGTCCTCGCCGAAAAAAATGCACACGTCCGAGCGATGCCAAGAGAAGCGGTTGCCCGATCTCTCGCGCGCCCGCCCGGCAGACGGCTCGCCCGCCAGCGCGGCGACCACAATTTTAAGGAAACGGACTCTAGATACACCGACGCTTTCTATGACCCTGCGCCGAGATTCGCACAGGAACCGGGATCCTGGTGCATGCGGGATCCTGGTGTGTACACTTCCGCTGTTCCCCTCGGAAGACGTGGGAAGAGTGTACACCACACCACCCCGACGTCGCCCCCGACCCTTTCAACGATCCTGGGATGGAAAAGCAGCCCGCCACTGGTAATCTATTGCCCAATTTTGGGCGCCCGAGTTATCCGGGGTAACTCGGGTCCGGGGTAACTCGGGTTCGGATTCCCGAAAAAGGAACCCGAGTTACCCCTGACCCGAAATACCCCTGATGATATGGGGCTCCGGACGCCCGAGTTATCCGGGGTAACTCGGGTCCGGGGTAACTCGGGTTCGGATTCCCGAAAAAGGAACCCGAGTTACCCCTGACCCGAAATACCCCTGATGATATGGGGCTCCGGACGCCCGAGTTATCCGGGGTAACTCGGGTCCGGGGTAACTCGGGTTCGGAATCCCGAAAAAGGAACCCGAGTTATCCCTGACCCGAGTTATCCCTGATGATTTTGGGCTCTGGACGCCCGAAATATCCGGGGTAACTCGGTTCCGGGGTAAGTCGGGTTCGGAATCCCGAAAAAGGAACCCGAGTTATCCCTGACCCGAGTTATCCCTGATGATTTTGGGCTCTGGACGCCCGAAATATCTGGGGTAACTCGGGTCCGGGGTAAGTCGGGTTCGGAATCCCGAAAAAGGAACCCGAGTTATCCCTGACCCGAGTTACCCCTGATGATTTTGGGGCTCTGGACGCCCGAAATATCCGGGGTAACTCGGGTCCGGGGTAAGTCGGGTTCGGAATCCCGAAAAACGAACCCGAGTTAGCCCTGACCCGAGTTACCCCTGATGATTCGGGGCTCTGAGGTAATGCCTATTTTCCAATTTCCGATGGAGGTGGCCTTCAGGCTCGGCCGCGGCCATCCTCCGTTCCAGCCGGCTTCGTGGAGGCCATGCGCCCGCAGGGACGCGGCCCTGCAGAAAAAAAGCCTCCGGGGGAGGCACCGCGACACCCGTCGCCCGGGAGGCCCGCGCGGCCGACTTGGAACCCCTGCTGGACGGCCGCCCGTAGGAACGGTGTTTTGAAGGCAGATCTGCCTTCAAAGAAGAAAGACTGGTCTACTCTGTAAGAACGGTTTTTTTAAAAGGCAGATCTGCCTTCAAAAAATCGGTCTGCTCTGTAAGAACGGTTTTTTGAAGGCAGATCTGCCTGCAAAAAACCGTTCTTACAGGGTGCCCCAGGGAACTGCGCAGGCACGCCGTCGCACAGAGGGACGCGCGTCGCGGCGCGGCGAAATTTGGGGGTGGCCACGGACGGGTTGGGCAGCGAGCGAGAGGGGGGGGGAAGTGAGAAGTCGGCGGTGGACAAACCTCCCTGTAGTAAGCCTCCCCTTGGTGAAAACGGCCTGGGACCGAAACCGACGGACCTGGACCCGCAAAAATGACGGCCGCGACGCCCTCTCGCGAACCGAAAACGGCCAAGTCCTGAATCGACGTGTCATGGTAGGAGGTTTATCCTCCTCCGAAGAAGGAGATGGCCTTCTCAGAAGGCGGCGGGACTTCTCGGAAGCCCTCGCGCCTTCCGAGAAATCTTCTGCGCCTTCGGGCAAGGCTTTTAGACAACTTCTCGGAAGGCCGCGGGGAACTGCCGAGCCTTCTGAAAAGGCCTTCCCCTTCTCGTTTCCCCCCCCTCGCTCGCCGCCGGACGGGGGCCACTTCTGTGCTCTAGCACTTGATCGTTGCCCCCGTCATCTCTGAAGGGGCCCTGGGAAACACGAATAAATGCACAGAAACAGAAAGATTCCCCATAGTTTCCCATATCTTCTGGGTTGTTGTCTTCTCCCCCAGTCCCCATATTTTCTCTGGAATCGACGATGACTTGTGCCTGTGTGTTTTTCCCCCTCCTGGATCTCTTGATGGCCGCGTGGAAGCGAGTCGCGGGGCGCCGAGCGCCCGCTTCCCCGGCCGCGCCTCGCCTCCAGCTCGGCCACGTCTTCTGCGACAGCCGTTCCGCTCGCGGGCCACGCCCTCCGCGCTGCCGCCATACCATCGCTCTCGAGGCGAGGATCCGGCACTGCCCGCGCGGGACCATGCGGCACCGCTCCGAGAATCCCAGCCGGGGGCGGAGCGAATGCCTGCGGGCCGATGGTTACGCCCGGGGCCTCAGTC